TCAGCGCTCTGTTAAAGTTTGAATTAATTTTTCCCATGGGTTTGTTCACATTCTAATTTTCAACTAAATGAGACATCTGTTTCAGAAAAGGAAAATTTGCTCTGGTTGTCATGGCAACTATCATTCTGTAAGAAAATTATTCCAATGGTTACTTTAGAACAGAAAAGACAGAAATTCAGGACATAAAGCCGCCTCCCGCCGCTCAGAGGGAATTCTGATTCAGCCTCCTTGGGGCCACGAGGTGTCCGGCGGCTGGTGCGTGGAGGGAGGGAGGATGGATGGAGGGGCGGGGCCTGGCCTGGGGTGGAATCTGGTCCTGGGCTCTTGGGCACCCAGCCTGGAGGCCCAGAGGTTCACAGTTCTCAGACCATGGGTGGTGGCCGCGTGGCTGCCAGACCCCTGGGAGCCCCTGTGTCCTGTCCCAGCGACTGATCCAGATGCCAGGCCTCGCGGGACATGGAGGCGACATTTCATCGTCCTGCAGCAGCTGAGAGGACACAGCCCCGATGTCACCTTGTCTCCTCGCCTCGCGTGGACTCACAGCTGTGTCCTGGGTGCCGTGCTACACAGAGGTCATCCAGGCCCTGCGGGGGGGGGGGGGAAATGAGGTGGCCTTGGAGAGACCCCTGTCCGCAGGTCAGCCCCGCTCCAGCCCACCCTCTGGAAAGCTGCCCCCTGGGGCCGGCTCAGAGTTGCCTTCTGGAAGCTCTGCTGCAGGGGTTGCCTCTTCCTGCCACTCTGACGCTAAAGGAGGCCGAGCTGCCCCTGCAGCGAGGGGCTCGGCGCTCACGTCGTGGTCAGAGAGGGGCCCAGCCTCAGGCTCCCTGGCTGTCCCCACCTCCCCTGTGTCCGGCAGTGCGGTACAGCGACCAGCAAGCCAGGCCCTCCCTGCCCTGAGCAGTGAGGTCTCAGACACTGGCCTCCATCGCGTTTGATGGGGGAAACTGAGGCTGGGAGGCGCAGGAGCAGGCCACCTGATGCCAGCTTTGGAGCCCTCTCTACCCATCAGGTGGGGGCCAAGGAGGACCCTAGCCCTCCGGGACCTAAGGCGCTGCTGTCAGCGGCCCCCACTCCCGGCAGGGCCTGCAGACGATGTGACCAGCACGCCTGGGCCTTTGGATGTTCTCCCGGGCCCGCAGATGGGCGGGGTGGACGCGGCGGGTATGGGGAGGGAAGACAGGAGGGTGGGACGGCGGGAACGGTCTGGATCAGCCGCCCCGTGGAGACCTGTTTCTCCACCTGCCCTGCCCTGGACTGCTGTGCAATTCTGGCAAGTAAGACGACTTCTCTGGGCATCCCAGCAGCGGGTAGAGTCCAGCTTCCCAGGACTCCAGATCCTGTTTCTGAGGAGCAGGCAGGACAGCGTCGCCCCAGAGCACGGCTCCTTAGTGCTGGGTGACGTGAAGCCGGGACATTCAGGGGCTCCCTGGGGTCGGCTGTTGGGGGTGCATGGGGCCTCTGACATGTTTCTGAGTCTCCCCCAAAACCACCCCATGCGGAGGCGTCTCATGAGCGCTGACAGCCGCCTTCTCTCCACACTGGCGAGGCCTCGTCCTGTCGGGTAAATATTTGATTAGAATTTTGAAAAACGGAGCCTGTGTTTGGAAGCCAGTGCCAGAAACACACTGCTCTTTTCCCGCTGGCTGGCAGGGCCGGGGCTCCCGGGAGGACCCCGAGTGGCTCTGGGCTGTGTGGCATGTGTTGGGATGGACCCAGCTTGTGGGGACCCTGGCGGAGCTGGCTGTGAGGAGCCGGGTCCCTTAGATGGGGCTGTGGGCACGGTAGGACCACGGCAGGGAAGGACTCCTCCCCTTGTGAGCCGGATGCCCGGGCTGAGCGTGTGTCTAAGCAGAAATACACTGAGCAGAGAAGGTTCCATGTTCCATGTCCTGCCCTCCTGTACTTTGATGTTTTCTTCCCACTTTTTCCTTTAAAAAAAAAATAGTGTTCCCATCAAAATGCAGTTTGCAAACCCTGTCCTGGGCCAAAGCTTTACACTCAAGTTCAGCCACTGGTGACGGAGGGGTCCGTGGGGGCCGCGGGGATGGTGACGGTGGTGACCGAGCGCTTGGGTGGCCGGCGTGCTCTGCCCGCCTTGAGGCGATTCTCCTGGGACCCGGGGTCTGTGGACGGTGGGGTCCGTCTCCGCATTGAAACCTGGGAAATGTGGCCTCGCACCAGGCCGTCCTCACCCCTCATTCCACGTTTGTCTGCCCCTCCCTGGGCCGGTGCCCCAGACAGCAGAAGGACTTGTGACCCGAGCAGTGGCCGTGAGGCCTCGTCGGAAAAGCCTTGGTCCCAGATGGACTACGGGCTCGATGCTGGGGTTAAAGAGCATCCACTCTGGGTTTGAAAACGACGCCTCTGCCGATCCTTTGTGTCACCCTGGGTGCCTGCGTTTCCCTCTCTGAGCTGCCGTCTTCTCCTCCAGGACCTGCCAGGGTGGGCTGACGTCATGGTTCTCGAATGGTGTTCCATGGAATCCTGGGGGTTCCACACAGGTGCATTGGGTGAAAGAGCCATTTGGGTTAACAGCTGAGATCGTCATCAATTGCTCCATAGAGTGGGACAGGGGACCCAGGTGGCAGCTCTGGGCACATGAGGGAGCACAAGGACAAAGCCTGGCCACACTCTCAATTCACACAGTGTGTGCAGGGAGGTGAGCAGTCATAATGTGGTCAAACCCCAGCACCATCTCATCTCGGAGAGCCTCAAGCTCCTCATCTGAAAAACTTGAGCCCCTAATTCATTGGGTGCTTGTCACAGTGGGGTGAGCTCACCCCCGTCATGTAGTAGGACAGGGCCTGGAGCAAAAGGAGCTGTTTGGGACATGCTGGAGATGGTTTTCATTTTCTACGCCATGGTCCTCAGTTTCCTCATCCACAAAACAAAGACCGGTCTGGCCTGCCTTACTGCGGGAGTGGAGGTCCTGGGGCGGCAGTGGCAGTTCTGGTGATGGTGATTGTCTTAGTGTGCAAGGCTGCGTAACAACCATCACCACCAATGGAAATGTGTTCTGCCACAGTTCTACAGGCCAGAAGTCTGAAGGAGAATCTCTGCAGGCCTCTCTTGGCTTCTGGGGACTGCCTGGAATCCTTGGCATTCCTTGGCTTTAGAAGCTTTACTCTGGTCTCTGTGTCCCTCCCTGCACTGTCACATGCTGTACCCCTCCAGCCCTTGTCACTCTTTCCATGTGGCTCTTAGAAGGACACTGGCCATTGGATTTAGGGCCCACTATAACCCAGCACGACTCACTTTCACCCTCATTGCCTCTGAAAGGGCCCTGTTTCTGATAAGGTCATGTTCACAGCACCAGAGTTTAGCCGAGTAGCTTTTTTAACAGTGTACAATTGGACCCACAATAGTGGTGGTAATGGTAGCAATGGGGATGGTGGTGGTGGTGGTGAGGAGGATGATGTTTTGGCTACTGTAAGAAAATACCTTAGATAGAGCAGCTTCTAAATGACAGACACTTAGTTCTCACTGATCCAGAGGCTGGAAGTCCTGGATTCAGGCGCTGGCATTCAGTGTCTTGGTTGGTAGAGGGTATCTGCTCACTGCCTTCCATGGGAATGGCTGAGGGGTCTTTCGCTGGCCTGTTCCGCGGGGGCACTGATCTCATCCACGAGAGTTCTTTCCTCACCAGCCACCATCCACCGCCCAGGGCCCCGCCTCCTTCTATTGTCACCTTGTTGGTTTGGGTCTCAATGTATGAATCTTGGAGAGACATGAATATTTAGACTGTAGCAGTGCCGGTGGTGGTGGTGGTGTTAATGATAGTGATGGTGGTGATGGTGGTGGTGATAGGGTGATTGTATTGGTGATGGTGATGATGTCATGTGGTGGTGGAATTGATTGTGGCGACAATGTTGATGGTGAGGGAGGTCATGGAGGTGGTGATGGTGATGATGAAGCCTCTGTAACCCTAAAAGGCTCTGTATGTGTAGGGTCATAATCATCTAACCCTGCGGGTGCTTCTCACGCCCCCACCAGAATGCTTTTGCTGCAGGGGACTCAAAACCATATTCAAGTGGCTTGTTTCACTCCCTTTTCTGCCCTCCTTCCTTCCTTCCTCTTTCTTTCTCTCTTTCATCCTCTTTCTTTTTCTTTCTCTTTCTTCCTTCCTTCCTTCCTTCCTTCCTTCCTTCCTTCCTTCCTTCCTTCCTTCCTTCCTTCCTTCCTTCCTTCTTTCCTTCCATCTTTCCCTCCTTCCCTCCCTCCCTCCCTTCCATCCTCTTATCCTTCCCTTCCTTCCCTTCCTTCTTTCTCTTCCCTCCCTTTCTTCCCTCCATTCCTTCCCCTCCCCTTCCTTTCCCCTCCCTCCCTTCCCTTCACTCCCCCTCCCTCCCTTCCTTCCTCTTTCCCTTCCTCCCTCCGTCCTTCCTCCTCCCCTCTCTCTGTCTCTCTCTCTGTCTCTCTGTCTCTCTCATGCTTGAATCCAGGGCCTCACACATGCTGGGCAAGTGCTCTACCACTGAGGAGCCCTGCCCCAGCCCATCTCGTGGCTTTAGACTGGCCCATATAACTGAGAAGTGCCAAGGTATGGTGGGCATCCAGCTGTCTCCCCCTGGGACAGCTTGGTACTTTTGATAGCTCCCAACTGATTTATACACAGAGATGACAATGTTTTCTTTTCAGATTCCCACCAACAGGAGGAATCTAGGTCTTCCACTTCCTGGGGAGCTAACACAGGGGAGTGACTGGGTCGACGAGGCTGGGTCTGGGATGCTGGAGTGGCTGCGGCCTATCTGGGCTGCCTGGCTGGGGGCTCTGTGGGACAGAGTGGGCGTCCTCCCCTGGAGTTTGTCCTCCCTCGGTCCAGGCTCCGCCACCACCCCCAGCTGGATGGTGTCCACTAGGAGCCCTGGCGTGTCCCCAGCTCTACCTCGGTTGTTTCCGGTGCTGAGCTGGTCCAGGTGGCTTCTGCTTGTGGCCTGCCCGCTTCCTGTACCCACCCACGCTTCGTGGCCCTCACTAAAGCACACGCTCTTCCTCCCTAGGCAGCCCTGGTTTTATGGCTGGGGCTTCAACCTGCCGCGAGGCCAGGCCCTGCTGGAGAAATGGAACCTCATCCCTGAGGGTGTGGATGTCCTGATCACCCACGGACCGCCACTGGGTAAGACCTGCTGCCCCTTGGGCTCCACTGCCCCGACCGGGTGGGCCTTCTGGGCCAGGGTCTGGCTGGAGCGGTGAACGGAGGTCACCTGGCTGGTTGGCCTGCTGGGGACGAGTGGCCCTGCTGTCCCCTTGCTCCTGAGTGCCTGCTGTCCTGGGGATGACTTGCCACCTCCTGGGCCTCTCCCCTGTGCAGGGCGAGCTCAGGTCACCTGCCCCTCCACATGCCGTGCACTGGCTCAGGCCCTCGCCTCCCTGACCCCAGTCCTGGGCACCGAACCTCCAGGGCCTGGCTGTGGGCTCCGTCGGGCAGCCCTTGCCCCGCCTGAAACCCAGCTCCTGCTCCTCACCTGGAGTTGTACCACCAGCATCCCCTCAGCTGCAGACTCCACCTCCTGATGTCCCCCTCTCCTGTCTGTGGCCACCACCCAAGCTGAGGTCATCACTCACCCGCTGCTCCCACCTGGGACCCCACACCCTGCCCATCTACCCATCTTCCCTTCATTCTGCCTCTACTCTGTCTCCTAGGTCCTTCCTCCTGTCTGCTACTGCCCACCCAATGTCTTCCTTCCCTCCCTTCTTTCTTTTTTCCTTCCTTCTATATATTTCTTTCCTCTCTCCCTCTTACTCTCCTTCCTTGTTTCTTCTTCCTTCTTGCCCCCCTCATTTCTACCCATCCACCCACCCATTCACTTACCTCCCCATTTGTCCACTCATCTCCCTGTCCACACCCCCCAGTCCATCCATCCATTGTCCTTCCACCCCTCCCCCATGCACCCATCCATCCCCCATCCATCCCCCAACCATCCATCCATCTATTATCCTGCATCCATCCATCCATCCCCCAACCAACCGACCATCCATCTATCCATCCATCCACCTATCCCCTGTCCATCCATCCTTCCATCCATCCCCTCAACCATCCATCTATCCATCCCCTATCCATCCATCCATCCATCCATCCACACACCCCCTTATCTATCCATCCATTATCCTTCCATCCCTCACCCATGCACCCATCCATCCCCCAACCATCCATCCATCCATCCATCCCCCAACCATCCATCCATCCATCCACACACACCCTTGTCTACCCATCCACTGTCCTTCCACCCCTCACCCATGCACCCATCCATCCCCAGCCTTCCCTCCTTCTCTCCCTCCTTCTATGCATCCATCCACCCCTCTTCCATGCACCCATCCCTCCCTCCTGCTACCCGTCCATCCTCCCAGCCATTCATGCACTCATCCATCCATCCACCCACTCATGCACCCACCCGTGCATCACGCTCCCATCCACCTACCTACACATCCACCACCATCCACTCACGCTTCCTTCCATCTCCCCGCCCACGCATGCATCAGCCCACCCATCCACCCCACCCATCCATCTGTCTATTCATCTGTCCACCCCTCCACCCACCGCACAGACCCCATGAGCCTGTTCCGGGGATGCCTGTGAGTGCCAGGCATTCCACTGAGAGCTTCACCCGGGTGCTGTGAATGCCAGGAATGCTGAGGAGCTGGAGCCCCATCCTCTACCCCTGCGTACACACCAGGAATGAGGCCGGCCTAGCCTTATGTATGTGTATCTCAGTGTCTGTTCAGCAAATCTAATTGCTGGATGCAGTTGAGGCACAGAGAGGTTAATTCACTTGTCCAAGGTCACACAGCCAGTAGGCACCAGAGCCTAGGATTGAAATCCATGTCTGCACCAAGCCTATTCTTGCCTGCTTCCTGTGTCTCTTCTCTGCCTTCTGTCCCTCCCCTACACTTCCCTGTCCCTCTGCCTCTCTCCTTCCCCTGTCTGTCTGTGTCTCTCGCTCATCCTTAACCTCTGGCTCCAGCAGCCTGAGTCTTTGAGTCAGAGCTCCCGCTGCCCCTTCCCGCAGTTGTAGAAACCTGTTTCGCCCACCCAAACAGCGGGGGCCACGGAGCCTAATTGTCCGCTTGGAGTAATCAATTGTTCTTCGTTTGTGTAGCCATGTGAGGATAATAAGCAGCCGCCATCTGGGCGGCTCTGGGAGGGAGGCGGCAGCCGAGCGACAGCGTGGCCACGTGAGCCGAGCGTGCTGCGCCGTGGGGACCAGGCGTCCGCTGTCACGGTCCCACGGTGCTTGGGGACGGGAGTCTCGGTCCCAGGCTGCGTAGGTGACACTGCAGCCGGCCACTGTGGTGTCCTTGGGCCTCAGTTTGGTCATCTCTGCAATGGGTGGCTGCTGCCCTGGAGCCCCCTGCACAGCAGTGGTGTGGGGGCACCGGCGGGTGTCGAGTGCCTCGTCCCAGGTGCTGCGCTGGGCTCCTGCCCTCCCACCCAACCTCACCCCCTCGCTGCCTTCCGGTGCAGGCTTCCTGGACTGGGTCCCCAAGAAGATGCAGCGGGTGGGCTGCGTGGAGCTGCTCAACACGGTGCAGAGGCGCGTCCAGCCGCGGCTGCATGTCTTTGGCCACATCCATGAAGGTCAGTAGCAGGAGGGGAGCAGAGGGGACTTCACATGCCGGGGACTCCTAGTTGGGGTGACTGCCTCCCGTCAGCTCCAGTCACCCCCTTCTCCCCTGAGTTTTTCAGCCAGAAGGCGCAGAGCCTGCTTCTGCTGTGTGCCTTGTGGTTGTCACACACACACACTCAGTGAGCTGCTTCCGGCCTGTCCCATAACACGAGGGTGGACACAAAATCCTGTGAGATTTGGGGGTGCTTTTCCCTTGAGCCCTGCAACTCTGCCTTGCCTCCAGCCTAGGAAGTCTTTGGGAGAAGGCTGGGGGTTTGCAGAGGAGTTAATAATTAGATTGTGACACGGAGTGAGCACATGGTGACTTCCTTCAGGCTGGTGGCCCGGACTTGTCCCTTACATCCCCAGGCCTGGCATACAGTAGGTGCTTCGTAAGTGTGCAGGGCCAGCCTGCCTGCCTGAGAGGCCTTCCGTCCTGGGGGCTGGAGCCACATTGCGGGAGTGGCGGGGGATCATCCCTGTCACACTGCGGCCCGGGCAGGGTGGCCGTGAGGGTGAGGGTGGCTTCTGCTCTGGTCCTGACTGGCCACAGCCTGCTTGTTGCTGCACGCTGGCTTTTGCTGTTAGACCTCCCCAGAGCCTATATCACCAGTTTGTCACAAGCTCTTTCTTTTGCTTCTTTTGAGCACTTATCCTGCCGGTGCACGGCCTCCCGGTCCCGGCCCTGCCGTGGGCTGCGGGGGTATGAGGACTGCTGCGGGGGTATGAGGACTGCTGCAGCTTCTCCCGGAGCTATTTCTGGGCCCGTTGCATCTGTCTGAAGTTGGACCAGGGCTGCTGGGTCTCTGCATGTGCCTGGTCCACACATACCGCATCATTTCCCAGCGTAGAAGCAGACAGACCTCAGACCAGCCTGAGGGTCTCTCTGCAGGGAGTTCTCAGGAGGCAGAGGAGAGCAGGCCAACCTTGGGCACGGACAGGCAATCAAAGGCTGAATCCAAGAGCTCAAGGACCAGGTCTTTGCAGTGGGATAGTCACGCTGATGCTGGCTATCATTTCCTTTGGCCCCTCTATGTTTGTGGAGGGTCATCAGCTCTAAGGCTCTCTGTGACCCAAACCACACCCTGCACAACTATATAGGCATCATGGGCTCCAAATATCAGAGGAAGTGTTCCTTCCAGCTTGGAAGTGATCTGAGCTGAAGGACGAGGACTTGAGAAGTAGAGGTGGTGGGAAGAAGGTGTGACGGGGGAAGAGAAGGACGTGACAGTGACAATGATGGTGATTATGGTGATGAGATGATGATAATGGTGGTGATGGTAGTGATGGCGGTGGTGATAGTCATGGTAATGACAGTGATGGTCATGGTAATCATGGTCGTGGTAATGATAATCATGGTCATGGTAATGGTCATAGTCATGGTCATGATGGTGATGGTATGATAATGTTGGTCATGGTAATGGTAATGATGATGATGGTCATGGTACTTATGCTTATGGTAATGATAGTCATGGTCATGGTAATAATGATGCTAAGAGTGACGGTGGTGAGGATGGTGGTGAGGAAGATGACGGTCATGGTGATGGTGGTGATGGAGATGGCGGGTGATAATGTCAGTAGTGACAGTGGTGATGATGGTGGCGAGGATGGGGTGAGGAAGGTGATGCTCACGGTGACGATGGAGATGGCGATGATAACGGTAATAGTAACGATGGCAGTGATGACGGTGACGGGGATTGTTTTGGGGATGGTGGTGAGGATGGTAACGAGGATGGTGTCCATAATGACAACTTGCGAGGTGCTCCCCGTGTGCCGGGCACTGGGCCGAGGACTCTTTCTGGATGATGACCTCCTTTGTTCCTCAGCAGGCTTGGGAACGTGGTCGTTACCAGCTCCACGGCACAGAGGCAGAGGCTGAGCCTGAGAGCTGCAGGAGCTTGCTCCGGCCTGGAGGGCCCACTGTGGCCCAGTGTGCTCTGGCTGCCGCAGCCACCACGAGCCCGTGCTGCTCAGCCAGGGCCTGACCGGAGTCTGTTTACTTTCCAGGCTACGGTGTCATGGCAGACGGGACGACCACCTACGTGAATGCATCCGTGTGCACTGTGAACTACCAGCCCGTGAACCCGCCCATAGTCATCGACTTGCCCACGCCCCGGAACTCCTGACTGTCCCCCGCGGCCCCGGCCCTGCCCGCCTGCATCAGCTGCATCGCCTGGCCGAGAGCACGGACCCCCGCCACACTCCCTCCCACACAGAACAACCTAGACACCCTGCCCGGCCCTGGAGACCAGCTCTGCGATGGGTCAAGGCCTTGGAATGAAGGAAATCAATCCCCCTTGACTTTCAGCCTCCATCCCTTGCCAGTGGGACCTTGCGTGGCCCCAGCAGGGCGTGCACTCATTATTATTGTTGCCTGTACCTCCATGAGGACCTCACTCAAGGGCTCATGGCCCGTCTCGCTTGGGAATCGCCTGAATGGTCACCCTGCTCAGCGGGACCCCCTCCTGTTTCAGGAAGCTGCCGCTCTTGGATGAGCTCTGGAGATCGTTGCACACAATGTTCCTCTGCCCCGGGGTGTGTGGCTGTGGCTCGAGGGTCGAGGATGGCTGGAGTTCTGTGGCCTGGGCCGGGCAGCCCTTCCTCTCCTGCCGGGCCTGGAGGAGGTTGACGCGGTTGTGGCCGAGCCCTCTGAGGGAGTGCTGGGGACATCTCAGGAATTCGGGCCGCACCTGGTAGGCCCCACAGAGGTTGGCCTCGCTGTTCCCCTTTATCTTCCTGTGGGCATACTTGCGGGTGTGACAGTGGCCTGAGCATCCCAGGCGTTTGCTCAGAGTCTGGGTTGGGGGAGAGGTTGGTTCCACAGGAAGAGCTGTCCTAGTGCGCGGAGCCCGTTGGAGGGTTCCACGTCATGGTAGGACAGCGCTTGGTCCCACCGGGGCTGTGCTGCTCTGCAAAACACAGCAACCGGGGGCTTGCAGGCCGGGGCTGCGGCACCGCGTGTCCCTCCTCTGCACCCATGTTCGCGTGCACACCCCCTCCAAATGCCTCCTCCTGCGTCTCCCACTCCTGTTCCGCAGCAGGGTTCTCTTCCTTGTGTAACCCCCTTGCAGCAGCCGTGGCAGGTGGGCCCTGAGCTCCTGCAGCTGCACCCTGGCTGGCTTCCTTTCCAGGGGCTGGGCTGGGGCCGGAAGGAACCAGCAGGGCCAGGTGAGGGGCAGGCTGGGGCAGGGGCAGAGCCTATCTTTATTTAAAATGTTGATATTTTGCTTGTCGTGAATTATTTTTCCATTCATTTTGATTTTAACATTATGTTACAATGGCCTTCTATCTGTTCTGATTACTGATGTTTTTGCGCCCCCTTTACCTGGCTAGGGAGGAGGGCTTTGTTCCCTGCCCTAGGAAGCAGCCTTCCACATGTCCTTTATCATCAACTTTCATCCTCAGACAGTCCTGCAAGGTTGGAACTGTTGTCCCCATTTTAGAGATGAGGCAGTGGAGGCCAGAGAGGCATGGTAACTTAACAGAAGGCACGCAGCACAAAAGGGGCGGGTGCAGGATTTGAACCTTGGACTCTGGCTTCTGAAGAGCCCTTGTTTTGCCACTACCTAGGGTTCTCTCCCCCGTGAAGCAGGACATGGATCCAGGGCTCTTTTTATTTTAATTTTGGAGGGTCCTGTTCAAAAGAAGCTCTGGTTCCTTGAACTCCAGGAAATCCTGAACTCTGAGCCCAGCATCCTAGCATCCTGGAGACTGGGATTTCCTCCCGGCTTGAGAGAGAGCTGGGTCATGCATTCCTGGGAGCCTGGCAGAAGCACTGCCTTGGGCAGGGTCCCCTGTGGCTGAAATCACTTGGGTTAGCTGGGGACATTTACAAGGTCTCTAAGGCGATTAGGATGTACTCTGAGGAATGGGTAGAGAAAACACAGGACTCTGTTAGTGTTGACTCTGCTCAATTTCTATGCGGACCAAGAACTAGAAACTTTAAAGAATAAAATGTTTTTCCTAAGGTATCTTCAGAATATGGTGTATTTTTATGTGGAAAAGAAAAGTTATGAAGGCAGCTGTTACTTTAAGAGAAAATTCATTAAAAGTCCTTGAGGTATGAAAGATGACGGTGTGCTCCTCAATCATTTTGGCATAACTTGATTGTGGCTGTAATTTTTTTTTTTTTTTTTTTTTTTTTGTCAAGCATGTCAGACAATAAAGTCTTTGTAAAAAGAAAGTGAAGTCCACATGGCGCGTCTTCCTCCGGGTGTCCTCGCATGTAGGGTGGGGTGGGGGGGCGTGGAGGAGTCCTGGGTCCTGGGCACGGCTGGAGGCTCAAACATGTGTCTGGGATGTCACCCCCGCACCTGCAGCAACTGTCCACGTGTGGAGGGGTAACGGGTGGTGGCGCAGGCGGGAGTGTGTCCTATTGTGTTCAGAGAACTTGACTGCCTGGTCTCCCAAAGTGAATGACCTCGAGATGGTCTTAGCTCTGGACTGTCCCTGGAAGTGACATGTTCAACCCAGCCCTGGGAAAACAAAAGATCCAGGCCCTGCCTGAGAAAAGCACCAGCAGGTACAATGACCCCTGTGTAAAAGCCCCCCAAGCGACAAAATTTCTGTCATTTATACCCTGTCTATCTATCCACTCAACCAGCCATTCATTCACTCACCTATCCACCGGCCCATCCTTCCATAATTCTGTCTGTTTGTTCCTCCACCTCTCCATTCATACATCTACCCATTTACCTACTCACCTATCGAGCTGTCCATCCATCCACCCATCCATCCACCCACCTACCCTCCCATCAAATTATTCATTCATCCCCACCCCTACTTACCCACTTATTTAACAAGCTATCCATCCATCCATCTACCCACCCATCAAATTATCCATCCATCCATCAACCAGCCACCTACTTACGCACTTATTTAACAAGCTATCCACCCATTCATCCACTCATCCATCCACCCATCCATCCATCCATCCATCTGGCCACCCACCAACCACCCACCTACCTAACAAACTATCCAGTCATCTGTCACCTATCCGTTATCCATCCACCCATCCACCTACAAATGCACCTACCCACCCATCTACCAACCAATCCATCCGTCTACCCACCTGCCCACTCACCCACCAGCTATTCATCTGGCCTTGCACCTGTCTGTCTATACCATAAACGTTCACTGAGCAGCGCCCTTGGCATGGCTGGGACCAGGGCAATGCCAGTGGTGATGGAGACAGATTGAGGAGCTATGACTGGTGAGAGTGGATGTGGGCGCATGGGTGAGACAGAGCCAAAGACGACCGCAGATCTTGGCTGCCAGTCATGCAGGGGAGCAGGGGAGTGTCAGTGTATAGTCAGTTTCTGTCTGGGGTGACAGGTCCTGAGAATGAGGTGCCCATGGACAAAAAGAAAAACAAGAGAGAGACAGTTATGGGATCAGGGGGCTTGCAGCCTCTCAGACTGAAGCCTGAAGTACCACCCTCCTTAGCCTTTTATAGGGATACAAACAAAAAGCAGCAACAGGGAAAATGGGAGGAATAATCAACAGGATTGGCTAGGACAATACAACTCAATTATCACAGGAAGGAGACGACTTAGTTACCGTCATGTTATTGTTCCTTGGGGCATATCTCAGCAAAGCATCCAGTGCTGTCCCAGGGGCTTTCCACAGGGACACCCGTCCTGCTATCATTTCCTTTTCCTGCTATCAATGCTTTTGCTAGACCTCCTCCAGAATCAAACAGTCATATGGCTCGGTCAGGCCCAAGCCCCACATAGCTAACACACTGGAAGGTGAGCTAAAGAACGTCCTTCTGCACAGGGGAGCAGGGCAGACAGGTTTGAGGCACAGGGCTCTTTGGGAGTCCTGGGTTGGGGATGACCTTGGGGCACAAGGGGAAGTGTCCAGTGGCCTGGTGGGCAAATGGCCCGAAGGAGAGGGAGCCTCTCTGGGGGCAGTGTGGAGCCTAAGCAAAGAAGCCGTGGAGCTGGGGAGGCCTCCCAGGCAGGTGTGTAGAGGCACCAGGAGTAGCTGGGGGAGACGAGGTGCCAGCCCCTCCGTGAGGCTCTCCGGTCCGCCATTGGCCGCCACCAGGGCCTCACAGGTATCTATGGCAACCTGTCTGTGGCCTTGGCTCCTGTGTGTCAGGCTTGAGGCCAACATGACGCTGCAGGGTTCCTGGGCAGGGCAGGGCAGGGCCCCTCTGAGGCTGCCACGCTGGCATTGTGGTCACCTTGCAGGTACTGTGCCTGGGCACTGGGGTCCCGGGTACTGTTGTGTGTTGCAGTGCTGGGGATGGAGCCCAGGGCCAGGTGCATGCTGGGAAAGTGCTCATCCCTGGGCCACGCACTCGGCTCTCCACAGCCCTGTTGAGCCAGGGCAGGAAGTGGGGGATCAAGAATGCATCCCAGGAAGGCAGGGGGGCCGGAGGTGAGCAGCTCATGAGCCAGGGTTCTCAAGGGCACAGCTCGGATGGCGCCGTCCCACAGGCACTGCTCACAAGCCCTCATTCAAAGGCGGGATGAAGAATTCTGAGAAGGAAGCCAGGTGCAGGGGTCCACCCCGAGCAGAGCACTCGGCCAGCTTGTGCTTTGCATTGATTTGTGAAGATGTTTGAGCAGCTTAAGCACAAGCTACCGTATGATAAAAGCTGCTGTGGAAACGTCTTCCGGGGTTGCCTCTTTGTGGTAGTCACAACCAGGGTGTGCCATGCCAGTGTTTGCTTTGTGCCCAGCCACTGGGCAAAGGGGAAATGGATTAGTGGTGACGGAAAGCTGGAGACAAGCTGTATCGCCAACCTGCTGGACCCCCGTGGTTGGCAAGGGCGGGAGGCACTGTGTCTGGTCTGCCTTGTGCCGGGCTCTCTGCTAGGGGTGGGGACATTGAGAGCAGGGTGACGGCAATGTCTCTGCCTGTGGAGTGCGGGCTTTGTGGCAAGGTGACCAGTGCGGGTCCTGAGGAGAGCCGCATCGAGCATCGGGCACACTGCTCTGTGACGGCAGGTGAGATGAGGTGACACTGTGAGATGGACTCCGGGCGGGAAGAAGGCATCAGCCATGCTCAGAGCCGAGGGCGGACAGGCAGCAGGGTCTAGCAGGGAGCTGGCAGGTGCCAAGCCGGTGGGGCAGGAGCTGGCTGAGCACCCGCAAGAAGCAGAGCAAAGGCTGGTGTGGAGGTCAGAGTGAGCAGGAGACTGAAGTGAGGTCTGCAAGGGCCAGCAGGGGACTGCCCAAGGCCCCGGCCTGAAGTGTGCGTCAGGTGTTTCTCGTAGTGAGGCTATGGGACAGCTGCTGAGCGGGGGACACAGCAAGGGCTCCAGGCTCCACATCTAGATTACGGGTCAGAGTGTGGCTCTTTCCCTTCCCTTCCCTTTCTGTCCCTTCCCTTCCCTTCCCTTCCCTTCCCTTCCCTT